GTCTGCTTCTGTTTTTTGGGCATCTTCAGGGGTTATCTGTGGCCTTAATACTTAGATGGGTGTGTATTTGGTATTTTTTATGCTTTCTGAATGCCTCCAAGTAGATGTGATCAGGAAACGGGCTTCCCTTTCAACTCTTCTTCCTGAGACGTTTCAAGATACCACTGTTGGTCGTTTTGACGTAATTTAGGATTTAATTTTTGGCCTATTTCCTCTTTTGTCTGCTTGTCCGGCTCCACAATCTCGGCTAAGTCCTTTTTTCTAGTTGAAACAGTTCAGGGCCGGCTGTGGCCTTTGGGTTTTAATTGGAAACTGTCTCTTTAAATTTCAAGGAGATCTGTGCGCATGCACAGTAGAACCCTCAGAGAGTTGGGCTGGGGTGCCCACTAGCTCAGGCACCCCTATAGTCACCCGAATGGAGGTGTGCAGACAGCAAGGGACCAATGAACAGATACCAAAAGAAAAGAATGTCCACACCTTTATCTCAGCGGTTCTGCCAAGCATCTGTGGCTGCTCAGATCCTTTCCCCACATGGTCTCACCCAAGATGGCGGCTCCTGGAGCAGCCAGCCCAGCGTCCTGGACTAGAAAGCAATAGAGTTCTTGCTTCTTCCACAAATTCCCCCAGCTGTGAGCCTCCCAACCTTCTAAGTATTCCTTTACATGTGGTTCAGCGTTCTGGGACCATCCCCTGAACCTGCTTGGTCGGGTATTCTGTGTTGTTGTTGGCGGAGCTCCCTGCTATACGTCCACCCGATCCGCCATCTTGTTTCCAAAGTCCCCTGTATAGGGTTTTGAAGGAGTAGCTGGTGAGCTTAAGATGCTAACCTTGCAGTTCCAAACAAACTGACCTTGTTAACCCACAGCACCACACCAGGATTTACAATCCATAGGGTGTGGCCCAACCACTCCCAACCTTAAGGGGGAGCCCAGTTTCATTGCACCACCTAAGCAGAAGCTAGCCAGTTGCTGCTGCTCGTGAGTATCTGCCCTGCCAGTCTTGCCTACTGTATGCTTCTATAAATTATTTTTTAACATGGAATTCAACTTGGGGGTGGAATGGAGATTTAAGTGTTGGATTTACATTTGAGATGTGGGACGGGCTGGCTTCAGCGACCCGACCCGGAAGAGCTGGGTTCTACACTGGGAAACGAAGCATATGCATGCTCTGTGGGAGGGGCGAGCTGCCGATCCATCTGCGGGCCTTCATCCCAGTACCGCAAGACTACCCTCTTTGTCCTAGTATACCCACGCCATTCCATCGCCCCGTTCAATTGAGATGCTTCCAGGCCCAGGCAGGGCTGTGTAAACGCCCAACATATCCTCCCAGGGCTTGGCGGGGAAAAGTCGCAATGACAAGGTAATCATACCTGCTAACCCCAGTGCTGGCTGCTGGTTAGTCTCCCGGTCTCAGCATCTTCTATCTTTGGCAGCGCCCCTAGCTCCTCCTAAACTGCATGCTGCTGGGACATGACTCTGACCACCGGGGTGGACCAAGGAGAGAACTCGTTGACTACCTTTCCCCTTTCTCTCTAGATTTCCTCAGAGCGCCGCACCATGTCCCTTCGCCTTCTACGCCGCCTCCTCCTCGTTGCCCTACTGCTAGTGATTGTCTGGACTCTCTTTGGGCCCTCCGGCCTTGGGGAGGAGCTGCTGAGTCTCTCGCTCTCATCCATGCTTCCCGCTCCTGCCTCGCCTGGACCGCCCCTGGCCCTGCCCCGCCTCCTGATTCCCAATGTGGAGGCGTGCAGAGGGCCGGGCGCCCCTCCCTTCCTGCTCATCCTGGTGTGCACCGCCCCAGAAAATTTGCACCAAAGAAATGTCATCCGGGCCTCCTGGGCTAAGATACGTGAGGTCAGGAGGCTGAGGGTGCAGACTCTCTTCCTGCTGGGTGAACCCATCCGACTACAGCCCAGGGATGAACACGGTCTGCAGAGTGAGGCTGAGGCCCAAGGAGACATCTTGCAGGCAGCCTTCCAGGATTCCTACCGCAACCTCACTCTCAAAACCCTCAGCGGACTGAACTGGGCCAATAAGCACTGTCCCATGGCCCGTTACATCCTCAAGACGGATGATGATGTGTATGTCAATGTCCCTGAACTGGTCTCAGAGTTGGTCCGGCGAGGTGGCCGCTGGGAACAATGGGAAAGGGGCACGGAGCCCCAGAGCTCAGCTGCGGTTGGAGATGAAGAGCAGGAACAAAGGGGACAAGATTTGGGGAGTGACCCGGTACCTCTGCTTTACTTGGGCCGCGTGCACTGGCGAGTGTATCCTTCTAGGACCCCCGGGGGGCGCCACCAAGTGTCAGAGGAGCAGTGGCCTGGGGCCTGGGGCCCCTTTCCACCCTATGCCTCAGGCACAGGCTACGTGCTATCAGCTTCTGCTGTGCAGCTCATTCTGAAGGTGGCCAGTCGGGCACCCCTTCTGCCACTGGAGGATGTCTTTGTAGGGGTTAGTGCCCGCCGTGGAGGCCTTACCCCAACCCACTGTGTCAAGTTGGCTGGTGCCACCCACTACCCCCTGGACCGGTGCTGCTATGGGAAATTCCTGCTGACTTCCCACAAGTTGGACCCCTGGAAGATGCAGCAGGCCTGGAAGCTGGTGGACAGCCCTGATGGGGAAAGCACTGCACCCTTTTGCTCCTGGCTCCAAGGAGTCCTGGGCATCCTGCGGTGTCGAGTAATAGCCTGGCTTGACAGCTGACACTGCCTGGGCCACAGGAGAGAAGTGAGAAACCCAAGGGGTGGAGCACCCCAGGACCTTCTCTCCTAGGCCTCAAGCAGAAGATCTGTTTCCTCATGCCAACTCCTCCGTCTGACACTGCTGACCAAGAGATGTAAGGGAACCTCTGGCATGACTTTGCAGTCGCAAACATGGTCATCAGGAATAGCAAAAACAAACTCAGGGAGAAGCAAGAGCTCCTCAATAAACTTTTGTGTGTCTGCCTCTTGAGTGCAGTGTTTTCTTCACCAGAACTCCCAGAACACCAAATGGGAAGTCCCAAAGGCTACCAAACCCTGCTGGGTGGGAAAGACATGTCCAGAAACTTGGGAGTAGAAGTACAGCCTTTCTGAGGAAGGTGGCACATAAAAGGCAGGTGTGGCACTGTGGCCACAAGCTCAGTTTGAACCACAAGGTCAGTGACTCAAATTCATCAGCCGCTCCTCGGAAACCCAGTACAGTGACGCTATAAGTCGGAACCGACTTAATGGCACTTAACAACAACCAGACCACAGCAGCCACCCAGTATGGGCAGGAGAGAGAGGCAGTATACTATGACCTTTCTGATCCTAGAGCGCTGAGGTCAGGCAAAGGGGAGTGCAACATGGCCACAGGATGATCCAGATCCATTATCCAAAATATCACCTTTAATACAACCTATCCCAGAAGCCTGCTGATCACCCTGATTGGGAAAGGGGCACATTGCCACTCCCACTTCCTGGAAATAGTCACTTCCCCAAAGAGGATCTTAGGGAGAAACTTGTTCCAAGCCACCCTGGGGCCCGGCTTAGTGCATAAATCTGTCCAGGGCAGATGACCGGGTCCCTGTGGGTTTGGGCTTCTTCCCGTCCTCTTTCTGTTGCTGCTTTTGCTTGAGGCTCTGCCGGACCTTGTCCTGGGAGGAGAACACAGGCATAGTGAGAAATGTCAAAGGCCAAAGGCAAGAGCAGGAAGGTCCAGCCCAAACCAATGCTCTCACCCTGTGCTCCTCATCCATGACTTTCCTCTTCCTTTTCACCAGGCTGGCTGTGGAGCTGCGGCCCTTCTGCTTTGGCTTTGGGTGGAAGGGAGCCTTAGCCTCAGGGTCGTATCCCTGAAGAAAAGGACAGGAGTGAAATCTCTCACAGCCTCAGAGGCAGGGAACCAGCTGCATTAGCCTGCTGGGTCACACTTCTGGGGATAGGCTTATGGTGGGTAGAGGATGTTGGGATGAGGAGGGCCGGGCATGCAGGGGCCTACTCCTCACCAGCCTCTCTATCCGCTCCTTCTTTTCCTGTTCCAAAGTGATGACATCCACCTCCGCCAGGGCCCTTGGGTCCAGACAAATGAGCTCAGCAGGTACCTAAGGGTGTCACAGGATGGGGGACAGGAATGCATATGAGTCACAGAAGGGTGGCACCACAGAGAAACAGCAGCCAGAGAGGGCTGAGCCCCACCCCTTCCCAAGCACCCCATGGTGTGACAGCACCGGGGAGCATTCCCTACCCTGGCCCAAGCTCACCTTCTCCAGCAGGGCCTTCACCTCCCACTCCTGGCGCTGCTTCCGGCTCCTGTACGGGTTGTTCTCCAGGCCATCAAAATTGGGCTCAGCAGCCCCTGAAGAGAGGAACACGGAACCATAGGAAGGCCCCAGCCTGCAAGTTCCAGCCTGACCAAGCCCCTTGCTCTGCCATCCCAGGCCCACCCAAACTTCAGCCACATTTGGTTCACTTCAATCACCATTCCCCGGCCCTCTCACCAGGGACCAGCATGCTGGTGATGCCCCCGTTGTGGCCTACCCCCAGCACGTCTTCAAAGGGGCAGAACTGAAGGCCATGCACGTGGCCTGAGAGTCGGTGGGTGAGGTAGGGCTTTTCCAGAGAGGGTGGGCTGCCCTTGCCCTGCCCTGACCATATGTTGACAACATCGCCCATCCCTGCAGCCAGTAGTCCCCGCTGGGAAAAGGCCAGGTGCCCTGCTCCCTGGGGTAGAGTCCGAGAGCTCAGAGGTTGGAACGTCCCACGTAGGTCAAAGATTTTCAGCTGGTGGTCCAGGCCAGAGGTGGCCATGTACCTGGGGGAAAAAAGGGGATCAACTAGTCAGTCAGTGTAGAAAGAACAGGACGTGTGTGAAACCCACTCTGAGGCAGTTCTTAAACCAAGGAACGCCTTGATGAGAACTGCAAGGAAAACCCTTGCATGCCAAAGATTATGGGAGCAAAACACACTGACCAGGTGGCTGGGGGAGTAATCTATAATAAGGAGAAAATATGTGTGCCTGTTATCTAGTAATAATCAACCTTGGCTTTGTTGTGGTGCCCAGATATGCCTCCTGCCTAAGACTGTACTTAAAGCTGTATAGTTAATAAAATCACTCTTGACTGACCATCTCGAGTTCCCTGTTGCTTTCATTTCCTGTCCACCTCTGGAGACCCCTGTCATGCAGGCTGGTCCTGCAAGTCAGTATGGGTTTAAAGAGCACTCCCCAAATCCACAGAAGACTAATAATTGCTGCCACCACCATCATGCTAAATGTTTCACAGGTATTCTCTCAGTCAAGCCTCACACCACTGGGTACTTTTCCCTAACTTCCCTTTTAAAAATGAGGAAAACAAAAGTTTAGAGATGGGAGGTCAGGGTGAGAAAGTACAAGAGCTAGAATTCTGGTCAAACCTGCTTCTTTAGTGTCTGCTCTCTTAAACACTAACACTACATTGTCCCCTCGAGTCACACAAAATGAGTGCAGAACCCATGATAGTTTGTGCCTAAACATGGTGTTTCACTGCATAGGCAGAAGAGTAGCTCAGCAAAAGGAAGTGTCAACTCAAGGGGTCAGATAGGGCTTCGTGGGAAAGGTGAGACTTAAGCCTTTCTAAGCAATGCTCAAGAAAACACAAAGGTATAGTAGGTACAAATGAGTGACTATCAGAGTATAGACAATAAATTGGAAACAAGTTTATTTTCAGAACTGGTGGGAAAGATGGTCCCGAAAATGGGGAAGAGACAAATTAAGAACGCTCTGTAAAGTCAGACCACGGACTCATAGCTCATTATCCACACTACTCTCTGGCAATGACAGCACGGGTTGAAGAGAAGACTGTACGAACTTGAGAAGACCTACTCAAAAAGGAATGAAATAATCTACCAGAGGCCTTTCTCTGGAAAAGGGGAGGAGAAATTTGGGGACTAAATCCCCTCAAGAAATCTGCTGTAGCCTGTTATTTACTTTCAGAAGTTGGGATTTCTGTCTGTGTTCAAGTTATTCCTGAGGCAGGGGGCTGAAGGGCTAACCAGCGAAGCCAGGGCCCAAGGACTTCTTTCTTCCCCTGCTGTTAACGCAGAAGGAGGGGACTTAAGAGGTCCGATGAACAGACTCAGACTGTAGCCAAGCCAAATAGAGGTCCCACTGGATACGTCTTCTGACAGGACAATCAGGGACCCAAGTTCACAAAAGGGAAAGGTCCAAAAGGTAATTACTAAATTAAACTCATCTGATACATTTGTAATGCCTAGATCAATGTTGTTCTGTAGAAATATAATGTGAACCACTTATGTTGTTTTCAATGTTCCAGTAGCCACTTTAAACAAAGTAGAAAGAAACATTTGAAATCAATTTTAATAATACATTTTATATATAAATGCTAATTTAAAAAAAAAAAAAAAAAGGGAAAGGATACCATCAATACAAACCAGGAATGACTGATGGCTTCTGGGATACAAGGTCACACCCTTCGGTGAACCAACAACTCAGGAGCACATGCTGGCTGCTCTCCTTCATACGGGCACCTCAGGATTCCCTAGGAAAACATCTGTCTGGTGGCCAGATGGGCATCCAGGCCCCACACTGCTGGGCCACATTTGCAAGGAGCACTTCAGCTTTGAGAATCTAATCCAATCCTAATGCAAGCTTCCAGAAAGCTGCTTGGGGAACATGGTAATAAGCCTCATCTCTGAGGGTCTTGTGGCTTGTCTGAGGAACTCCTGAGACCACTATAAGAAAGGATGGGTGTAAGACCAAGGAGCAGACCAAACCCCGAAGCTCAATGAACTAATTATGCCCTAATCACAGGAGTGGCTGACCCAGGCAGCAAAGGGAAGACAGGTTACGGCTTAGGCTGGTGGCCCACAGAAGACAGAAAGTCTCAGGGCAGGCCTCCCTACACTCCACACAGTTCAAGGATCCATAAACTACAGCCTGCCACCTATTTTTATAAATACAGTTTAAAAGTAAAGGGAACAGCACACCAGAGCTAATTAATCGATATATCCCCAGAACCTCAGCACAGACACCCCACCCACCCCACCCCCGCCTACAGCAGCTACCTGGCAAAAGAAACAGAAACACACTGAAGTGGGGGTAGGGTGTGTGTGTGTGTGTGTGTGTGTGTGTTGCTTCCCATACAAATCAAATAGTAAAGTTGGAAAAAATGCAAATATTCTCTAAGGAAGAACAGAAATGCAAAGTAGATGTTCCCACCCCCATTCCTTACATCGTATCACAGCCGGACTTAAAGAGAACAATCGTCTTTAATGATAATGATGATGATGATGATGACAGCAACGCCTACCAGTTGCTAGGCACTGTGCTAAACTCTTTCTATGCCTTAACTTGCTTAGAGTCTACAGCGGCTTTGTGAGCTAGACTAGGGATTGGAAAGCCTGTGGAGGCCCAGACTACAGCCCACTGGCCAAAACTGGCTCACCATCTACTTCTATATAGTTCTTAGGCAAAAAATAGTTTTTCCATTTTTAAATGGTTAAAAGAAACCAAAAGGTGTAAAAAAGTACATGATGGTCACATTCTGATGCTCACAATAGAGGTTTTATCAAAACACAGAGAGGCTCATTTAGTTCGTCGGTGGCATGGTTAAGTAACTGTAGACCACGTATAGCCCTCTCCCTGCTTGCACACTGCTGCTGAGGGCATGTACAGGTCACAGTAACATGTGACATAGCTAGAACTTGACAACTGGAATGCCTCACATACCACCTACCACACATCATCTATCTGTGCAAAAAGATGCTTTCAAAGATGAAAATCTTTGTGAAGTCAGCATTGTTGTTGTTAAGTGCTGTCAAGTCGATTCTGACCCAGAGCGACCCTGTATAGAAGTTTCCAAGGAGCTGCTGGTGAGCTTGAACCACCAACCTTGCAGTTCAAATGACGTTGCAGTCTGACGCATTAGCCCACAACACCTCACCAGGACTCCAAGTCAGCATTGTTGTTGTTGTTGTTAAGTGCCATCAAGTCGGGTCCGACCCATAGCGACCCTGTACAGGGTTTCCGAGGGTGTAAATCTTTACGGGAGTAGAAAGCCTCATCTTTCAGCATTAGCAGATGAAAATTTTCATTTGACTTTGATGAGCTAGAACTTTAACTCTCAACATCAAACAGAGGATTCAATTCTCATTAGTAGATCTGTAGCATACAACATTGTACTCAATTAAAGGAACCCTGCTGGTACAGTGGGTTAAGCATCAGACAGCTAACCACAGGTCAGCAGCTCAAATCCACCAGCATTTGAGGATGTCTGCTTCCGTACAAATTTGCATTTCTACTCAGCACTACACGGTCATTATGAGGCAAAAGCAAATTGACAGCAGTGGTTTAGTTTTTGGTTTCAGGAACTCAATTATTTTGAGTTTCATCATTAATAAAAAAAATTGTGATAACTGGTTTTCTCTCTGATCAATAAAGGTCCTTGATTTTGTCTCATGGCCTGGAAAGCCTAAAATGTTTACTATCTAATTATACAGAAAAAGTTTGCTGATTCAAGAGCTAGACACCCTGATCTCCACTTGGGATGAGAAAATTGCAGCACACAGTGACTATGTCAGATGCTTATGGTGACAGAGCTGGTAAGTGGTAACAACATGATTTAATTCCTGGCAGGCAAGCTATAAACTGTGCTACTGAAGGCAAATTCACTTGCCTATCTTTTTGCCTAGATGTTACCCCCAATATCTCATTCCCAAACAAGTGACTTACGTGCCTGTAGAATCTACTGCCATAGCTCGGACCCCACCACGGTGACAGAGAATCTTAGCCAGTGGCTCCTTCATAGCTGGACTCCATAAAGACACAGTCCCTGAAAGTCACAGGAGAAGAGTTAAAGTTACAGGTGGGATACTAGGATAATTAAATCTGGGATTGATGTGGACCCAAGAACAAGATACAAAAAGAAAGGGTAAAAAAAAAAAAGAGGCAATTTAGGGCCTCATGAAGTACAAAGAAAAAAGACAAGCAGGTTTAAGGATGGCTACAGAGTCACAGCTAAGCCAGGGACTGACCATTGCTGTGTCCAAGATGGATGATGGCATTGTAAGGGTTTTGAGTCATGACATCAAGGCGTCCAGCCCGAGCATTCAAAGCTGTCACGATCTTCCCCACTGACACATCCAGGTAGGTCAGGAACCCTGTCTCTGACTGAGAGAATGAAAATGACTTCAGTCCTGATTATCCTCAGGCCTCCCTACACTGGGGGTCCCAGAGGAGTGGCTTTCCCAAGGCTTGCCACCTAGTCCTGAGCTCCAGTCACTCACAGCTGTGGCCAGGAGGAAGTGGAAGGGCAGGAATTCAAGCTGTGTGATGCGGTCACAGCGGCGGATGCAGTGAAGTTCAATGCCTTGGTTGTCATAGATGTGAAGCCAGCGGTTCTGAGCAACAGCAAGCAGCGCCTCAGAGTGCAGAAATCTGGGATATTCAATGGGAAAGGGGTTAAAGGCTGTCCTTCAATCAGGGATGGACTGCCTTGGCCCCAGTGACCACTGCCTTGGGGGGCCACTGACCGAATGTCCCGAACAGCCTCCATGACGTTGATCTCACACATCAGCTTCTTTGTCACCCAGTCAAGTGCAGCCACGTGACCCCGACGGCCTCCTAAAGCCAGGTGTCTATTGAGGACAGAGAGTCAACTCAGGGAAACACGCTGGCTCAGCCAATTTGAGGACCACCCCATACCAACCCCTCTTCGCCAGGCAAGAGACGAGATAAATTACAGTCTCCTCCCCTCATCACCAGGCCACCCATATTACTGGAGTTCAACTTTACCTGCCAGTTCGAGAGTAATTCAGCCTGTAAGGTCCAAACTGCCTTAGATTCAAGTCAAAGTGCTGGGAAATGAAGGAGTGAAAACAAAACATGATGAAAACTATAGCTCCCTTCGGTAACACCCTCTTCTAGTTCTCACTGCCTTCTTGTTTTGCATCACCAGTAGGTGCGCAGCTCCTTTCCCACCCTCAGGCTCACCTTGGCTGCACTAGCAATGTCCACAGCCTCCACAATGTCAGTCTGACGGATCTTGGCTGTATCCTCGCCATCCTCCCCTTCTAAAAACCTGCACGGAAGGGTAAGAGTTGCAGGAAAGCTTCCTAACACATTGACATAAAAATGAGAAAAAGGAGCCCCATCGAGAAAGGCTGGGGAAACCAGATTACAGTTCTCACCCGGGCTCCTCCGCAAGCAGCAGCTCAGAACGAGCAGCTCTCAAACTGGCTTCCTCTTCCTCAGCTTCAGCTGCTTCAAGTCGACTTCGGGCTTTGGACTTAGAATGTAACAGCTATAACGTTGTTGGCCAGGTAGGGAGAAAGGAAAGAACCAGGTGATACGTGGGGTTACAAGAGAGCCCCCAGTCCAGCCTCTAACCAATATACCTCGGCCTTCAATTCCCGCCTCCCCCCTCCCCACCCCATCGTCTGGCTGGTCATCACCTTTTTGGATTTGTCAATACGACGGAACTTCCGCGCCGCCTCTACAGGAGCTGGGGCGGGGCCTGGGAATGGGTCCTGGGCCTGGTACAGGAAAGCGGGATTAGCCGACAACTCGGGCTGATTCCAACCACCTCCTGCTCAAAGTACAAGGGGTCTTGCCTCCCCACTCCAGCCGGCCCCATTCTTACTCCGGACAAAGTCCGCTGGGGCTCCGGATTCCTCCGCTCTCGGGGCTTCTTCGGGATCTGAGGCTTCTTGGAGACCCGAGACTTATTTTGGATGTAAGTGTTCTTTGGTCTCTGCGGACGGAACTCCTGCTTCCTCTTCTTGCTACGAGGGGGTCCTAGGGAGGCTCCGGCAGCTGTCGGCGCGGTCTCTTCTTCCTCCCAGTATCGCCGAGGTTTCTACAGGCAGATTACGGACCTTGACGCTCCGCTGCCCACGACCCCCGATCCACAGTATCCTGCAACTACAAACTTCCCTTCCAACCCCAGAGAGACCTCTACCTTTCTCTTGGCCCGAAGCTTGTTCTTCTTGGGCGGGGCATCTCCACCAGGTTTAGGGGCAGTCTCCATCCTGTCCGCCAGATGATGACCCACGTGCAAACGCTGCTCAGCTGTCCCACCCGCAGCTTGGAAACTCCCGGAAGTTCCCTTATCCTCCCCCAATCGGCGCCGTGCCAGCTCTGAAGCCGTCCCAGCACCATCTTGAGTGAGGGTGAGCGCTCTTTGAGGGGCGGGGCAGGTCTTGGTACGCCATCCTAAATGGCAGCTTTTGCCCGAGTAATAATGTCATTATGGATGAGAGAAAGGCAAGATCTGAGACCAAGTGACGGCGACGTTTCTTTTCTCGTCTTAGTTTTTTCATCTTAAAACCACGGTTCCACCACTCATTCATTAGGTCAGAACTACATTTCCCGGCATGCCTGAGAGGGAAGCTTCCGGCGCCGTCTTTTCCCAGCGTTCCTTGTTTACTGCCGGGATTAGTAAGTCTGAAGGGAGAACGTGAGTAGAGTAGGGTTTCGGTTGAAGGGGTTGTTGGGGTCTCGTTGGTGGGGCCGAGGCAGAGTCGATATCCAGGACAGGGAAAGGTTGCGGTATCCTGAACGGTTGTCTGCAGAGTATTGCTTGTTCCGCCGGCTGGGCCAGAAAGAGAAATTCGGGAGCTCCCGGTATCAGACCCAGCGCCCCTCTCCCGCTCCTCGCAGGTTTTCGTCCCCGCTATGGCTGAGCTGATACAAAAGAAACTACAAGGAGAAGTGGAGAAATATCAACAGCTACAGAAGGGTAAGGGAACAGGGTCGGTGTGGCCTCACCTTAATCGCTTCACTCACCCACCCAGAACCCAAATCAATAATCAAGACAAGAGTTTTCGGCCCCACCAGCGCACCTGTGCGCAGCCCCATCCCCACCCATCGATCCGTCCCTGTCTAGTTCCTCAGCAACCTTCTCTTCTGTTTAGGATTATGGGGGTCCTGTTGCACAATCTGTGTCGCTAATCACATCTTTCTTCTCATCTCCCAGACTTGAGTAAATCCATGTCAGGGCGGCAGAAGCTTGAGGCACAACTAACAGAAAACAACATCGTTAAGGAGGTGAGGGACGGAGATTTATGGGGCGTAGAGGAACGCCTGTACTGGCAGTGGTTTTGATTGTGCCTTTATGTCCCACCCCTCAGGAGCTGGCTCTGCTGGATGGGTCCAACGTGGTCTTCAAACTTCTGGGTCCTGTGCTGGTCAAACAGGAGCTAGGGGAGGCTAGGGCCACTGTGGGGAAGAGGCTGGACTATATTACAGCTGAAATGTGAGTCTGCCCCAGTATCCTGTGATGCAAGTGACACTTGTAGAGCAGCTGGCAGGGTGGTCCCCAGACATTATGTCTGAAGTATTACAGATGAAATCTGGCCATCTCCTCCAACACCATAACTCAAATGCCTCAATTCTAGTCTTCCTTGTTCACTGTCCCGCTTTCACATGCATATGAAGTTATTGAAAATACTGTGGCTTGAGTCAGGCGCACCTTAGTTCTCAAGCTGACATCTTTGCTCTTAAACACTTTAAAGGTCTTGTACACCAGATTGGCCTAATGCAATATGACTGCTGCTTCCATGAGTGTTGATCGTTGATCAACTTCAGCAAACTGAAGTCTTTGACAACTTGTCTTTTCTTTCTCTATTTATATGGATGTCAACTTGTTTATTGGTCTAGTGGTGAGGAATTTTGTTTTCTTTACATTGAGATGCATCCTATAGTAAGTTGGTTAAGTCTCACTAAATTCTCTGTGTTTGCTTGTCTTCTCTCCTCAGTAAGCGCTATGAATCCCAGCTCCGGGACCTGGAGAGGCAGTCAGAGCAACAGAGAGAGACCCTTGCTCAGCTGCAGCAGGAGTTCCAGCGGGCACAGGCGGCAAAGGCAGGGACTCCTGGGAAAGCCTGACCTCGTGGGGGGGGGGGGGGGGATAGGGAGGCAGCTCTAGGATCTATAATGTAGCTAATAAAATGTGAAAACACCTGGTGCTGTTTTTTTGACCAGCCACTTCCACTTATGGCCCTTATTCTTTTAACTGGAGTCTCTTTCTTCCTTTCTTGGAACCCACATATGAAAATACTCAAACGTACTTTGAGTATTGACTTTTAATATTTCCTTATCTTAGTTGACGTGACAACCCAGGAAACCTGGGAAGAATATTTCCAATGCAGCATAGTTTTAGGAATATGTGTATTTGAAGAATCAATTTTCTAATCAAACATCCTAGGATAAAATGTGGTTATTATCCTTGCTATGCATACTTGTCATTCTTCCAGTATCTCCCTTAGCCCCTTATAGTCTGTCTTCCTATAATTTGTAGCTTTTTAAGTAGATTTAAAACCCCAACATGTTTGTTTTATGGTGTTGAGGTCTAACTTCATGTGTTTCCCACAAAATTATTCATCTCTTTGCCCTAAAATTATTTCCTAGAAATTTATAGCCAGAGGATTTCTTCTTACTGATCTCTATGAAGACAATTTAACAAGAGTGGAGAGGAATAAACTGAGAAACCCATTTTCACTAGCACCTCTTTGTTGTTAGAAAACATAAGACTCCTTCCTGTTTCATTTTTCCCATCTTCAGCCAGCTCTTCATAGACACCACAAATGAAAGAACAACTCAGGTAGTGTTTTGGTTTATTATCTTAGTGTTGTCACAGTGACAAGAACCCACAGAGTGGGAAAACACTGCTGGAACCTCCTTGCCACCCTCCACCCCCTAGGCTCAGACCTCTGGGCCTTCCCTCTCCCACTCTTCTAGGCCTTTCTTTGGCCCTTTAAATGCTAGGATATGGTCAGGAATCAGGACTGACCCTTTTTTCACACAATCGCTGTGTGCTGCATTCATGGAAGGTGGGGCTGTAAACAGGTATCCAAATTGTTTACCAAGATTACCAGCTCCTACAGGGCTCTATTTTACTGCTATCTGGTAAACCAGTGGCATATCACTGCTCCAGTGCTGGCCACCATTCAGGATTTCTGTCCCGGTGCGATGTGACTGCCACCATTCGGAAGGCTGCCCACATCTGGTATGGCCACCCTGGTTTCTGTGAATCAACAGGGCTTCCTCTTCAGAACAGTGCCCGGGCAATCTTCCTCCCTGTGGCCTTGATCCTGGGAAAGGAACCCCCTCCCCCTTCACTTGGGGGAGTTCCTGAGGCAGAGGGACCACTGGCAAGGCCCACTGTGGCAGTAGAGGGTTTTCGCCGTTGCCGCAGGAGGAAATCATGTGATGCTCCATCCATAGCATAGAAGACATTAGCCGAGGGTGGAATAGTCAACTCTGTAGGTTCAGAGGGTGGGTGTCAAGCATAAACACAGTTTCACACACACACAAGTGCCCAGATGTGGAAGCACTCCCACTGATAAAGCACCACTCTCCTCCCCAGCCTGCCTTTCCCCATGGCCTCTGACCTCGCTCCCCTGGAAGCAGCTGTACTAGCTCATACTCTGAAGCCACTGCAGAATCACGATTGTTTTTCTTAAGGACGCGACTGATAACACTTGGAGCCTTGTCCTGACTGGTCACCTGAGACCAAAAGAGCAATAAATCACTCCATGATGCCTTCTGTTTTCCTTCCTTAAAACCCCAGCCACTAATCTTCAAATCGAAGAAGGCTACCTGTGCCCAACCCTTTAAAGTAGAAAGGGAAACCCAATATGGTGGCTACGGTAACCCGTGAGCCAGCTCACACAGCACCCAGTGGAACAGGGCTTCTTCCCTGTGGGGAAACTGCTGTGGGTTCTGAAAATACAGTCACCAAAAGATCAAAGGGCAACAGCTAATTCATGGTAAACATCAAAATACAAACATGGCTGCCAGAATCAAAGGTCAGAATTCAAACTGTTGTTAAGTGCCATCAAGTTGATTCCGACCCATAGCGACCCTGTATAGGGTTTCCAAGGAGCAGCTGGTGAGCTTGAACTACCAAACTTGCAGTTCAACCGGCTTTACAGTTTGGCGCATTAACCCACAGCACCACACCAGGACTCCAACTAGGATCCTTCCATTTGGCTGCCCAAACCCCAAGATAATGTAGATTAGAACAAAGCCCTATCCTTCACCCCATCTCTCAGGCCAAGGCTCCCTCACCAGGATGCTCTTGTAGACACTGCCATCTTCCCCCAGTTCCATCTGGACACGGATGATCCGGCAATCAGAGGCCCCAGGCCCACACCCCACACCCCCATATCCCGTCCCTTCTGTTCCCCCACTGAGAGGGGTGCCACAGGAGGCGGAGCGTCGGTGACCTCGAGAAGGTCGAGGGGAGGAGGCTGGAGGAGAGAGGTGGCTGGGGTCAGCCGGACTATGCAGGGAAGGAGTGTTTTCCAGGGCGGAGTCCAGAGACGAGACAGATGGCCACTTCATGTGCTAGGGAGGACAAACAACATGGGCAACTGACAGAAAGGCAGGGAGGGAAAGGAAGATTCAGTCAGGGTCAGTGTCAGGGCCAGAGGTCAGGAGCAGATCTCACCTGGGCCAGCCGAGTCAGCAGAGGAGCAGGGGTTCCAGGTACCTCATCTGCCCCGACACTGGGCCGATCCCAGGACACGAGGGGGGTAGGGACCCCAACAGAGCCCAGGACCCTGGATTAGCAGGAGATTGGTAGAGTTAGAGGAAAAATGGCAAGTCCCTAAAAGACCACCCCCAGTTGCCGATTCCCTCACTCTGTCCATTGTGAGATGACCAGTGTTGGCCGTAGCACCCGTGGGGCAGGAGGGTCACTGGTACTAGGTGGTTCCACCTCACAGGATACACGGTGGCTGAGGAAGGGGAGACAGTGAGCAGAGATCAGTATATAGTAGCACACGAATTCCCCCATGCACCTAGCATGAGCTCCGGAGTCCCAGCCTCCCCCAGGCAGTCACCTCTGGGCCTCTGTCAGTGGCCGGAGCCCTTGCAGCCATTGCTGGATATCGGGGTCAGGCCGGAGGTCATAGCCACGACATTTGTTCTGAAGCCGCCGCAGCTCAGAAAGGACAGTGAACTCCTAGGAAGGAGCCCTCAGTTTGCAGAAGCTGAAACTTGGGGATCCCTGATGTACCCCTCTCTCCCTTGCCTGTGATACGGAAGTGGGTAGCAAGCATCCAGCCCTGCACTGCTCGTACCTTCCTCCGCTTGTCAAAATTGATGTAGCCGTTCTGCAAAGACATGGCAGTGGGTGAAAATCCTAACCCTGCCATCCAAACACACACCCGGACACAAATTCAAAACCCTCACCCTGGCCTCGATGATCCCCCTTCTCATCTTTGTCTCACATCTACTCTGTTCTAAGTCAGGGGTGAGGAACATCTGGCCTTGGACTGTATGTTGTTGTTAAGTACCATGGAGTTGGTTCCGACTCATAGTGACCCTGCCCAGGGTTTCCGAGGCTGTAAATCTTTACAGGAGCAGAACACCTCATCTTTCTCCCGCGGAACTGCTGGTAGTTTCGAACTGCCGACCTTGAGGTTAGCAGCCCGGTTCGTAATCACTATGCTACCAGAGCTCCTTTTGGACTGTATGTTGTTGTTTTTATGTGCCGTGGAGTCGATTCCGACTCATAGCGACTGTACAGGGTTTCCAAGGCTGTAAATCTTTACGGGAGCAGAAAGCCTCATCTTTCTCCCGTGGAGCAGTTGGTAGTTTCGAACTGCTGACCTTGCGGTTCACAGCCTGATTTGTAACCACTATGCTACCAGAGCTCCTTTTGGACTGTATAAGGTCCGTGAAATCATTTGATCTGGCCTGCCAAGGCAACCGCAGTTCCAGCCATCACATTGGTGATGGTGATTATGTGCCACTGAGTCATTCTGACTCACAGTGACCCTGTATAGTGTTTACAAGGATTTAATCTTTACGGAAGCAGAAAGCTACATCCACATCTTTCTTCCACAGAAGGATTGGTAGATCCAAACTACTGACTTTGCGGTTGACAGCCCAGATCGTAACCCACTGTGCTGCTAGGGCTCCTTATCTCTCATATTGTTGTTAAGTGCTGCTGAGTCGATCCCAACTCAACGACCCTGTAGAGGGTTTCCAAGGAGCGGCTAATAAGTTTGAACTACTGACCTTGTGGTTCAAACAGATCTTGCAATCAGTGCTTTATCACACAGCGCCACACCAGAACTCACATTGTTGTTGTTGTTAAGTGCCATCGAGTCGGTTCTGACCCATAGCAACCCTGGATGGGGTTTCCAAGGAGCAGCTGGTGAGCTTGAACCACCAACCTTGCAGTTCAATTGGCTTTGCAGTTTCGCGCATTAACCCACAGTGCCACACCAGAACTCACATTAGGAATGACTTAAATAAATGCTTGACCAGACTAATTTTTAAGTTGATAATTTTGTATGGGCTGTGAATTACGTTATAAATTTTGGCAGAAAAATACAAACTGTGCCCACTTTACAGATGAGAAAACAGGGGCTTAGAAAGAATAGGAGCTTGCCTAAGGTCCCAGTATTTGTTCATTTAACCAACTTTATATAATGCTTGAACTCACGGTGTGGCACTGTAGGATTAGCATTGGACTGCAAAACTACAAGGTTGGCAGTTCAAATCCACCAGCTGCTCCTTGGAAGTGAGTCTGAGCTGACTCGATAGCACCTAATAGCAACAGATAATGCTTGGAGTCCTGACGTGGCACTGTAGAATAAGTACTTGTCTGCTAACAAGTTTGGCAATTCAAACCTACTAGTTTGTTCCTTGGAAATCCTATACAGAGTCACTTTGAATTAGAACTGCCTGAATGGCACTTAGCAATAACAATATAATGCTTAGAAGATGGTAACCAAAAGGCTGCTGGCTCAAACCCACCAGCCACTACTTAGAAGATAATGGTAATCTGTTTCCATTAATATTACAGCTCTGGAACCGCACAAGACAACACACAGCAAGATGACAACAATCAATTCATACCTATTGATAATTACACTGAATGTAAAAAAATTAAATGCACCAAGTCAAGAAACTAAGAGAGCAGCAGAATGGTTACAAACTTTGGTACA